ATGTTTTTGTTAATTTATATAATACACACATTTTATTACATTACACATACTGATTATAATAAACAAGAATGATCATGCATAATACTTTTTTTAGCCCATATGTAAGTGCCTAGTCTTGTTTACATTTTTAAATAATTTAAATATAATTAGAACATTAATATGTGCATACTATTCGTTTAAAATTACCGGGTATTGTGGTCTTAAACTCTTAACCATTAGTCAATAAGACAATAACTGATAATTAATTACAGCCATCGAAAACCTAATGAAATTAAACTAACCTAGGTATGGAAAAAAAATCTTTATGATATCAGGTAAAGGTATTTGAGTGTTACAAACTATAATAAAACAAACWACAGAATAGAGGCAAATAAATCATTTTACATCATATTACCGAGTATGTTAATATATATTGTTTGTGTATTGTATATTCCAACGTTGTTCAATTAAATAATATTAAAGAAACTACAACTGTCATCGTGATATTTGTTGACAGTGACGCGAGGTATAATTTAATTGAGTTTATTTTTATAGCTCTCATTTTTTTTAAAAAAATTACGGGAACTAATTGTTAAATTGTTGTTTAATTAACATCAGTATTATTTTTTTTATATATAATATTACGTATGTAAAAATACTTGTAGATACCGAACTATTACTTTTAGTTATTAGGTACCCTAAAAAGGTATAGCACTATATGTTTATATATCACTTTCATTAGGTACTATATGATGTAATACACATGTAAGGAAATGGATAATGAATGAGTTTTATTTACACATAMAATTATTAACTGCGTATTCCTAATCAKTTTTAATTACAAAAATTTTAAAATAATTTCAATTTTATAAAAATAAATGTACTAGATGATTCAATATTACGATTTATTTTACAATAAATTTCACTTAAAACAATAGCCACAACATCGGATAGCTTTTTTCTGTAATAAATAAATATATATATGTATAAATAAATTTTACTTATTTTTATATTGAGTAGTATAGTATATTATAGTATTAAAATATTATTTCCTAATTAATCATTTTAGTTTTAAGTATAATTATTTTTGTTCGCTGTTGATTTGACTCGTTKGTTGACTTTCATCGATGTTTTCGGAATAAACATTATTTTCATTGTTAGAAATTTGTTCATATTGTTCTACATATTCTGCGTTTTGTGTTGGATAACTATTGCTTTCATAATCATGTTGTTGTTGGTCATAATTGCCGACATTTGAATCTGGATAATAAGCTGCATTAGCGTCGTGATTGTTATCAACATAACCATCATACTCTTCTTTTGGGACATTTTCGTCGTAATTTGTATTGCCTTCTTGATAATAATAACCGTCATTTGTGTGCTGATCACCTGTGTATGTTTCTTGTTGGGAATTTTCATTATATTGGTCTTCTGGATGTCTTTCTGTGTTAACATTAGAATTGTTCTCGTAGTAATAATTGTCTTGCTCTCCATTAACATAATTTCCTTGATGCTCCTGATAGTTCTGATCGATTTGATTTTCGTTCGTTCCTTCCTGTGGATGATTTTGRTAATAATAATCGTCATGGACCATATTTTTCTCAGTTACGTATTCTCCTTGGTGATCAGATTCAGTGTATTGATTTTCTGATTGTGCTTTTGGGTCAACATTAGAAAAGTTTTGATAATAATAGTCATTTTGAGCCGGTGGCTGATTTACGTAATTTTCCTGATAATTTGGGTCTACTGCATATTGTTGACCTTCTTGTTGTTCTTTTATGTCATCTCTAGCATGATTTTTATAGTAATAATCGTCATGCTCTTCGTGCTCACCTGTATATTCTCCTTCTACACCAGGTTTGGAATATTGATTTTCTGGTTGTTCTTGGTGGTCAACATTTGAGTAATCTTGATAATAATAATCATCATTAGCGTGCTGTCTTTCGACATCTTTAACTTGGGAATCGGGATTTTCATATTGGTTTTCTGTTAAATTTTCATTTTTGTCATCTGTATGACTTTGATAATAATACTCATCGTGTACATTGTTTTTGTCATCGAATTCGTTTTGTTGAATGGGTTCATTGTTGTTGTTTTTTAAGACTTCTTTGTTACCATCAACGACCTCGTTTGTATAAAWGTGTTCGTCGCTAGGAACATGTTCCAGTTGTGTCTCATACTCATGAGTTGGGTGTTCTTTTATGTTCTCATCATCAACATGACCTTKGTAATAATTTGTATTATTTGTGAGCTCGCTATTTGAAATTTCATGCAATGGTTCTTGGTCTTTTGAAATTGTTTTGAAATCAGAACTAACTGGTGTTACGATATGATTAATATCTATTTCATTAGTCGAATCATTAACAACATTATATGGTTGAATAGTTTCAGAATTATTTTGTTTTTCCACGCTATCATTTTTATTAATAAATTGTTGATGGTAATCAGTTTCGTATTCGTTCATATTACTATTACTATTTCTATGATCAACTATGGGTGAACTATATTCATTCTCTAATTTATTATCCACTACATTCGAACTTGTTGTACTACCTAGAGAATTTTCTTTTTTCAATTTTTTTTCACCTCTGTAACTTTCTCTGCGTCTAATAGTATTTACGTTATCATTTATATTTATGTTATTATCTGTGTGATCTTGATAACTAAAATTGTTTTTTTCTGTTGTCTCCCTCAATCTGTTTTTGTTATTACCATTACTATCACGTCTAAAATCACGATATGCATGTTCATTTGATATGTTTTTATCATCATCTTGTGTCTTTGAGTAGATCTGATTATCATTATTAGTATCATAATTTATACTATCATTATTATAAGAATGTTCGGTTTTTTCTGACAAGTTTGAATTATTTTCTTGAAAATTATTTTTCATATTTAAATATTTATCAGATTCAAAAGAATTTCCAACTGATGCTAAATTTTCTTGTTTACTTAAAGGTTGTCTTCTTGAGCTTATATTTGTATGACTTGGTGAAATATTTTGTTTGCTTATAGAAACTGAATAATTATCTTTTGGCAATAACGATGTTCGACGTTTATCATCGAGTTTCGCGTTTGATCCTTTTCTTCCCAGAACTAATTTACGGTCTCTTGTGTTATAATCTTCATTAGTATTTTCTTCAATTGAATTTTTATGATTAGGTAGATCAGTATGTTCACTACCGAGATCAAAACTAATTCGCTTTGGAAAAGTCGAAGGTGTTTCAGTTTTTTTTTTACATAATGTGGATTCATAATAATGATCATT